TCTCACAAAGTCACAAGTTGGCCAGGGACGGCCCTGATAATACATTTCTTAAAAAGAGAACATATTCGAGGGGTGATCAATAACATTTCCATGTTTATTTATTTCTCCAAGTTATGTTTTTGTGTGCACTGAGGAGTCTCAAACAGGCGTTTGTTAAATCATTTTAAGATTGGCTTTAATCAATTTGTGAAAATGAATTCTTCATATATGATAAATGAGAGGTAGCATTCATTTCCACATATTTCTCTCCATTCTTCCTTCTACCAACGGTGTCACAGTTTCTCGTCTCTCTCGTTGTTGTGCTTAGTGCGTACGCACTAATCACGCACGCGTACTTTATCTTTTGTGCGTACGCGTTGTTTATAAATGAGGCCCCTGGTCCTTACCATGGCATTTCTGTGTCTCTTTCATGAGAACATAACAACCTGAAACCTAAAGTCTATGTCTGAAACATGTTGCTGAGCTTCTCGGTCCATATTCTGAAAGCACTGGCTCTTACCCGGGTGGTGAGTCAAATCTGAGCACTGTGAAAGCACAAATATATGCTTTCACAACATGTCAGTTAAACCAATAGAGATTATAATATTTGTTTATAATAGAATATATACTTTTTATACACAGCCTGTGGATATCGGAAACGGCAGAGATAGGTTCCTGGTTGCCGTTACGTTACGTCACGTCGGCGCGTCGTCTCCCGATCAGTCAGCGTGACTGAACTCCGTTCCCTGATTGGCGGTTTTCAAATCCGTCGAATGTAGCTCATTGGCCTGTTTTGAACCGCTGTTTTCCTGCAAGCAATTCAAAAGAATCTGTCAGCATTCAGCAGCCGTGTGTGTGTAGAGTACATACCTCATCAAACGACGCACAGTCAGGTAACTATTATTTTAATTTTATACAGGTTTAAATATGAACTGAGCTATTCGTCAGGTCAGTTGAAAACTTGTATAATTTTCATCTGGCCTGAAAAATGGTCAGCTGCCACCTGAAAACGAATAGAAGGTAACGTTTTAGCATTAGCTAAGCTAACGTTGGTGACCTTACGTTGCTTGCTCAACATAAAGAAAATTGGCAGTTTATAGTATCAAATCCATAAAGGTAACCTCTCACTGTCGTTATTCTAATAGAAACAAAAGCGTTAGTTAACAGCTAACGCCCGGGGCAATGTAAACCGTGTTCTGAGCCATATTCATCTAAAGTAACGTGTAACGTTAACTACACGATTATTCTACCAACGTCCGTTTATTTAGGCTTTTTAGTAACTAATATCTCCAAGTTAAAAAGCGTATGATACATATATGTGTCCATGGTTGAACTAACAGTTAGTTACACGGTGTCTTAGCCTTCACATTCTAGTTCGGTCTTTTAGGCCACATTGTAGAGAAGAGTCGCTTTGACTTTAATATGGTAGTTCACTTATGTGATTAAAAAATGAGCTGAGAATAACTGATGATATCTGGTGCAATGGCACTTTTGACATGACAGCGGTTTTTTTTTTTCAGGCATGATGGAAGACTACTTGAAGATAGAGAAAATCGGAGAAGGTTTGTCTATATTTGTATTCCCTTCAACTATGTTGCTTCTGCTGCCTGTCTGGGGAAGTACATGTACATTATCACTTCGCTCCCTTCCATTACATTACATTGCATTTAGCTGACGCTTTTATCCAAAGCGCCTTACAATAACTGCATTCGACCAAGAAGATAAAAACTTGAAGAAAACAGAATCATAAAGTACATCAGGTTTTATAGAGCCAAAACATTTCAAGTGCTACTCAACTGGCTTTAGATAAGCCAGTCCTTTATTAGTATATAAGTGCTTTGTTCCCATTGTAGATCCTATACAACAAGCTTCAAGACTTAAAGGGTATTTTTTCTTAATGCTCTCTTGGGCTGTGCTTGAGAGGAATTAAACATACTGTGTGAACATGTTGTTGTGCAGCGCTACCTTAATGCGGGGTGGGTGTATTAAAGGCGACACAAGGCCACCGGGCAGGTGGTGAGCGGGATGAAAAAAGATCCGCCTGGATGAGTTGAGGGGAGGGAGGGGGGTTCCAGCACTGCTGTCAGAGTGGTGTCTCTGCTGCAGGAACTCAACATCCCAACGTAGTGCGGTAAGAATGGGTCACACAATAGAGGTAGAATAAGTACTTCCAATCTTTTTTTAACCAGGTAAAAACATTGAGACAAAATCTCATTTACAATGCTGACCTGGTCGAGAAGGCAGCAACGTTACACATTCTTACACATGACACAGACATATCAAATACAGAAAACTATATCTGGTGCTTATGTAAAAGTACCACTGTGCAGAGTCCTGCACGGGTCTGATTTTCAAGAGCCGCTCCCACCCCGCACCCGCGATGTGCAATACCGAACCCGCCCCGCTACCCGCACATATTGACAATTAGTTCCGCAACCCGACCCGTCGGCACAAGATCCGCAACCCGACCCGAACCCGCATATATGAGCAGTGAAAACGTGCAATTATTAACACACGCAGTTGCATATTTGTCTCTTTAAATTAAGATTACTCATTGGTTGAGTTTTAAAAATAAATATGTATTTTAGCCAGAAGAATAGTTATATTTATTAACTGTGTGCGGTCTTCATCTAAAAGCCCAATTAAAATATTAAAGGGTGTAAATGTAAATTCAATATTTGACGCCAAATAATTTGCAAAACATGATTTGTGTGGAAACATTTTCATTATTAAGATTTTTATTTTAACCTCTTTAACCTTTCTCTTTCTCGACCCTCCTTAGCAACGGTCATTACAGTCCTAGACAGCGGTCTATTCTAGTGGATTAACAACGTGTCACATGTTCTGAATTGACCAATCAAAACTTTATTTAGCCTCTGTATTGTTTATGGTTAAATGTGATTCTTAAGTGGGCCCTGAGTTGAAAAGGGTTGAAAATAAACCAGTCATTGTATTTATCCCAGACTCCTGGATGTTCTGATGCAGGAGTCTCGTCTCTACCTCATCTTTGAGTTCCTGTCCATGGACCTGAAGAAATACCTGGACTCTATCCCCTCAGGCCAGTACATGGAGCCTATGCTGGTCAAGGTACCTGTGTTTGTGATCAAACTCTATCAGCAGTTCTTCTTTGTCTTTCAGCTGTATTATTGCAGCTCTGTCTTTCTTTTGAATTAGATTAAGAAATGAAAGAAACCCCACAAGAAACATTGTGAGCTAAAATGCTTCAAGTGTAACGCCATCTCCCAGAGAAATATTTTTTGAAATGCTTCAATGTTTCTCAAATTATACTTTAAATGCTATACACATGTGCATCCATGGCAATGTTTCCCTTGCCATTGTCTTGGAGGGGCGCTGCGCCCCGCCAACGGAGCCCCGCGCCCCCCCTGACATTCAAGGTGTTTAAAAAAACAAAAAAAAACAATTATAATTTTTTTTTTTATATATATAGCACCAAATTGCAACTAATGTATATCTACTGTCATTTTTCACATTGCTCATTTGCTCTTTTATTAAATAAACTAACTACTATTATCATTTTAAGTTGTGAGTTTAGTGTTTTTGACCCTAAGAAACACTGATGCATTAATCAATAACAATAGTCCACAGCTCCTCTCTCTGCTCCAGAGGATTTAAAAAAGCAATAAACCTAGGGGAAACACTGCATGGTATAATGATTTCAGCTACTGCATGCTATTTCTGTACTGCTCTAAAATCTTTGCTGCCACAGAATCTCACCTGCAAATGAACAATTACCAAAGTAGACATGTTACTGATAACAGGTTCCTATGGTAATGTATGCATCTTTCATCACAATAAAACAAGTAATTAGCAAAACAAACTAAATGATTAAGTTTAAAAACCTGTTCATTTGAGTGATTAAGTATATTTGTACACCACCCTGGAAGTCTCATTGCGAGGGACAAGAAGCAATGGGACTTTTCCATGTGATTTGTATGATTTAAAGAAAGTAATCTCTGTGGCAAACAAATGTTAATAATACTTACATGTTGAGTTTAGTGGGATGATCTCAACATATTAACACCACTTTATGATTTTTGAAAAGTAACTTCTATTACGAGAAGCTAACATGCTTTAAATGACCTACAGCACATTCACATGAATGCTCATACCACTAAGCTAAAGGCGGCTAAGGTTTAGTGGTCTCATTTAGAAACGTGTTAGCAACCACTATTTTTTGTGACACGTAGAAGCTTCAAACATTCACCATTGGCGAATTCACTCCCATGTTTAAGGTGATAAAACAAAAGTGAAAATATTTTCAGCTTGTGGTAACTACAGACCTTATTTCGGGAATCTTAACTACAAACACGTTCAACAATACGTTGACTTCTAGATCAGAAAACCTGGAAGTTGTAAAATGCTAACTCACGTCCGGCATTAGGACTAATTCCTGCACCACTCTATTAGCAGATATGCTGCAGCTATCATGGTATTTTTCTGCTCATTCACTCTCACACCGATAACCTGTGTCCCTCTCCATGTCCTCCTCCTTCCTTCTCCACCCTATAGAGCTACCTTTACCAGATATTGGAGGGCATTTACTTCTGTCACTGTCGCCGTGTCCTCCACCGAGACCTTAAACCGCAGAACCTTCTGATAGACAACAAGGGTGTTATCAAGCTGGCCGACTTTGGCCTGGCTCGGGCATTTGGTGTTCCTGTCAGGGTCTACACCCATGAGGTGAGAACCCATTCACACAGCACAGGATTCATGGAGTGAAACTGCAATGTCGAAGTGACAAACAACTGCCTCACATTAGGCGCGTTCACACCGCAGTACCTTTCCCACAGAGGTTCATGAGAGCTTAGTTCATGAGAACTCTCTAGTTCTCATGAACTAAGTACAGATTGCGTTCACACCGGAATAAGTCCCTGAGGCAAATGAGCCGCTGACGTCACTTCTTCTTCTTCTGCTTTGGGTTTACTGGCAGGCCGCAAACAACTTCAAGGCGTATACTGCCATCCGGAGTCCCCGGCCGGAAGTCCCCGGAGTTGGGGAAGGCTTCAGTAGAAGCTGCTGGGACTCCCAGCAGCTTCTACTCAAGCCTTCCGAGTAAATCGCCAAAACGTCGACACCTCCTCATCTCCACCGCTCCCATGTTTTATTTTGTGTTGCCATAAGTTAGTCTCTGCGTTTGTGCGCTGGGCTAATGCTAATAGTGCTAATGCGAGGATAATAAAATGGCGGCTTCACAAAACTTTTTACGGGGGCGTGGTTTGCATTCCGCCCAGCCAATCAGTCATAGGAACCTTTACACCCCCTTTTCAGTCCCTGC